CTATCTATCATCTATATATATATCTATATCTATCTATCTATCTATCTATCTATCTATATATATATATATATATATATATATATATATATATATATATATATATATTTAAATATTTAAATATTTAAATATTTTGTATTTAGTGTCACAACCCCTGGTATGCCCAAATATGGGAGGAAGCCTACTGCTTCCTATCTCTGTCTATCGGCTCGTCACAAGAGACCATCCATATTTAAATATTTTATTTATACCTGGCTGTTCCAGCAGGCCTGGGGCTGCTGAGTTCCATCCCCACTTGAACTGGTGTGCTTGCCGAGACCTTTTAAATTGGTTCTGTATTGTTGTTTGTCTTTGTTTTCTTTCCTTTTGTATTGTTCCCCTTCTGGTTTTGTTAGCCGCCCTGAGTCCCGGCATACAAGTTGAATAAAACCTTCAAACCTCTTTAACATACATGAGTGCTTAGTGAACAGTGTATTGTCTGGGTCTATTTATACATAATGATAATATTTACGTTCCCATAGTAATAATCTTCTAATACTTATGTGTACATAATAATCAGTGGTAGGATTCAAATAATTTAACAACCGATTCTCTGCCCTAATGACTCGCTGGGTGGGCAGGGCTCAGTGGTCATGTGACCATGTGGGCATGGCCAACTCAATGTCACTCACGTCGATCATTGTCTTAGCTGTTACAATGTAATAAGAGTTAATTGGAAAGGCAATTTATGTAAGCAGGGCAATAAAGATTAAGCTAGAAACAATACCATAATGTTTCCTTCCTGCCTTCCTTACAGGATTAGCCCTGTAAAGTGGAAAAAACACAAAAGGAGATTTCTTCCAACAACTGGTTCTCCGAACTGAATCCCACCACTGATAATAATATATTGGGTAACAGTATACATAATGATATTTTCCCAATTTCTACCTCTATTTCCTAATCCTTAATACAACAAATCCCATATCAAAAAGCATTCCATATCTGTCCCATCATCTCTTGCCCTTTTTACTCTTTCAACTCTTGTTGACTTTTGGACCAATGTCGCATAAATATGCTAACGTTTTAGACTGCCTTCCTTGCATGTCTCATTTTAACATCCTCCTATTCATAGCATGCACTGTATTTTAATTCACTACCGTTTTATGGAAACTAGTTGTAAAACTATTTGACCAGCAGCGCTCACATTTCTTTCTACAGGAGAACAGGGCAATGCAGTGACCTTCCATCTTTCATCCCGGAGAAGGGTGGAGTGGACGGCTCAGCAAACGACAGCAATGTAAATATGAGTGCTTCCTACTGCTCATAGATCTGCATGACATAATGCAATATCCAGTAGCCACCTTTTGAATAACTGAGCATGCAGCATATGAGATCCATGCCACCTCTGCCTTGTCTATGATGACACATTTTTCTAATGGTGACAGCTGGATGAATCCTGCGGATATGGGGCTGAGATGAGGCTGGAGTGTTGGTGGCATTGTTTGTTTCCAGAAATCAAAGAGTTTTTGATCTCTTTGCTTTCTAAAACCTAGTATTCCAAAAGTGCAGAGAGGAAAATACTTGGGGCATACAGGATGGGATAGTATAGAAGTGGTTTTGAGGGAGACAAAATAAAACTACTTGGGGTAATTTTTTAAAAAAATATTTTTTGTAGGTCTTCAGATATTTCCTTGGAATTTGCTACAGCCATGTTGGAAAAAAACAACGGCTTGCTGTGAAGGCAACCCTAGTAAAAATTTCTGAAATTTCTTTAAAAAGCTGTCTGATAATAGTTAGACACCTCTTGATGCAGGTGAAGGAGAGGGCAAAAGTTGGCTTGAAACTCCACATTAAGAAAACTAAGATCATGGCAGATTTTATTTTCCTGGGCTCTGAGATGGGGACTGCAGCCAAGAACTTAAAAGACGCTTGCTCCTGGGGAGGAAAGCGATGGCAAATAAGACAGCAGAGTAAAAAGCAGAGACATCATCCTGCCAACAAAAGTGCATATAGTCAAGGCTACTGTTTTCCCAGTTGCAATGGATGGCTGTGAAAGTTGGACCAAAAGGAAGGCTGAGCGCCAAAGAATGGAGGCCTTTCAACTCTGGTGGTGGAGAAGACTCCTGCGAGTCCCTTGGACTGCAAGGCGATCCAACTGGTCAGGCCTAGAGGAGATCAACCCTGACTGCTCTTTAGAAGGCCAGATCCTGAAGAGGAAACTCAAAATACTTTGGCCACCTAATGAGAAGGAAGGACTCCCCGGAGAAGACCCTGATGCTGGGAACAATTGAGGGCAAAAGAAGAACGGGACGGCAGAGAATGAGGTGCCTGGAGGAAGTCACTGAAGGAGCAGCCGTGAGCTTGAATGGACTCCAGAGGATGGTAGAGGACAGGAAGGCCTGGAGGAACCTTGTCCATGGGGTTGCAATGAGTCGGACACGACTTTGCAATTAACAACAATAGTTATGTCTTTGCAGTTGTATGGAATTAAAAGGATTGTGTATTTTTTTTCCAATGTTGTGTATGCTTCTGTTATTTTTACACACACCCACACACACACACCTTGACATAAATATATCACAGCAATCTTCATCACTGATTGATACACTAGCAATGTGTTAATCCAGCAGCCAAACTGGCAACCAGTTTTGCCTTATTCTTAAGATTGCTAATTTTACCTAATGCATTTCAGGTATTCGTTGAAATGGGTTCAGAAGACAGTCTAAAGCTGTGATGGCGAACCTATGGCACGTTTGCCACAGGTGGTACACAGCACCCTCTCTGGGCATGCAAGCTATCACCCCAGTTCATCTCCGCCGCACATTGCATGTGCGGCCAACTGATTGTTGGGTCTCTGCTGCCCATGTGGAGGTGGGTGGGACATGTGCGGGGGCATATGCGCATGTGCAGAGGGTGGGGTGAATGCCTGGGGCCCATGCATTTGGGGGTCTCAGATGCACATTCACACCTGCACACACATGCTTTGGGCACTCAGGTCTGCAAAAGGTTAGCCATCACTGGTCTAAAGCCTGAATGTGCTTTGAACATTTCTCCCTTGCCTCAATTTGAATTAAAGGCATCATTTTTGAAAAAATAAGATGCTTACAGAGTTTTATCCCTTGTAAGCCACCCAGTTATGGTTAGGGATTCAGTGGCTAAGACACTTTTGTGTTTGTCCATCAGAAAAATTGGCGGTTCGAATCCCTAGCGCCGTGTAACAGAGTGAGCTCCTGTTACTTGTCCCAGCTTCTAGCAGTTCGAAAGCAAGTACAAAATGCAAGTAGAAAAATAGGGACTGCCTTTGGTGGGAAGGTAATCAGCCACATGACCACAGAGACGTCCTCGGACAACGCTGGTTCTTCGGCTTTGAAAAGGAGATGCACACTGCCCCCTAGAGTTGGGAACAGGTAGCACACGTGCGAGGGGAACCTTTACCTCTAAGCCTCCCAGAGTCAATTTAGAGGGGAGAATAAGCAGCATAATGTTAAAAGGTTAGAAATCTGAGCGAACAATACAGGCTGGACACCTAAATGGGTGGTCTTGGGCAGATGCTAATGATTATGTAAATACAGGTAGTCCTTGACTTAAAACACTTCATTTAGTGACTGAAGTTAGCACACTGAAAAAAGTGACCTATAACCGTTTTTCATACTTACGGCAGTTGTAATTCAAACACTTGGGCAACTTGACTCATGATGTTGCAATATCCTGGAGTCATGATCATCTTTTGTGACCTGACAGAAAAGTTAGGTCAAAAAGCCAGATTCACTTAGCTATGTTAATAATTTTTAACAACTGCAGCTATTCACTCAACTGGCGAGAAAGGTCATAAAACGGGGCAGAATTCACTTAAATGTCTTGCTTAGCAACAGAAATTTTGAGCTCAATTGTTAAAAATCAAGGATTACCTATAAGCTGCAGTTGGCTAGACATGCATAGAAAGTGTTCAAGCTATAAACCACCGCTGACATCAACCACAGTGGCAGGATGGATGCAAGGGTCAAACTCTCAGGCGAGCGCCAGCATTTTTCTCCATGCCTTGTGATTCTGAAGCATCAAAAACATGTATGCAAGCAGAAACAGGATAACCGAGGCGCTTCGTGCAGGGTTGATCCTTAAGTCACCTGGATTAAGAACAAGCTACAGGGAACAGGAGAGCCGATAAGATATAATTGTTTGGTCATCAGTTCCATTTTTAGGACTGTTGTGCCTTTCACAATTATGTCAAGTTCAGCACACCTGGGTTACAAAGGAAACAAAAACAGTAAAAAAATGTATGTGTGTGTGTGGGGGGGTTATTCAAAATTGATTAAAATATATTCTCCATGCATTAAAGTGAAGGAAAGCATAGCTAAAACCTAGCTAAAATCTCTGTTCGGTTTTCTAGAAGTATTGACAAGTATGAGAATTATAGTTTTAAGATTAGATTAGATTAGATTTATTACATTTATATGCTGCCCTTTTCCCCGAAGGGGACTCAGGGCGGCTCATAATTAGTCAGGGAAGGGGGTACAGACGGGGATAAAAGATGAACATAACAGTACACAAATTTAAAAAACACACAACAACCATACCATTCGAGGAGGGGGGCAAAGCTCTTTAGCCCCAGGCCTGTCGGAACAGCCAGGTTTTAAGGGCTTTGCGGAAGGCCTGGAGGGTGGTGAGGGTTCGAATCTCCATGGGGAGCCCGTTCCAGAGGGTCGGAGCAGCCACAGAGAAGGCCCTCCTCCGGGTAGTCGCCAGTTGGCATTGGCCGGCATTGGCCGGCGGATGGAATTCAGAGGAGGCCTAATCTGTGGGATCTAATCGGTCTATTGGAGGTAATTGGCAGCAGGCGGTAATTGGCAGCAGGCGTTAGTACATAAATCATAGACTTGGAAGGGACATAGCCATAAACACATAAAAAGAGTGCATGTAAATGGGGATAGTAGGACAGGAATAATAGGCACCAGTGGTGGGTTCCGGATCCCGTTGCAATTGGTATGGTGCAACGCGGCCCGGCGTCCACCACATGAATGTGCACAGTGTCTTTACCTCTCGTGACGC